TGCATGTCTGGGTCAGATTGTAGACAAGGTGCTGAAAACAAGAACAAGGACGGCATAGGGAAGGGCCAGGCTGATTGCCTGGAACCAGGATCTGTCCTCCGCGTCTGCAATCTTCAGCAAAGCACCGAGCCCTGGCAGGCTCTCGCGCAGCTCCGGCGGCCCGTAGCGCAGGAAGTACTGTAAGGCGAAATACCCGCTGCAGAGAAGAGCCGTCGCCCTCACCAGGCCCAGGATCATGGTAAGCCACAGAGAAGGTCTCGGAGACCTCTTCGCCTTCTCTTCCCGCTTGCTTTCTTGGCCTCTGCCGGGTCGTGGCTCCACCAGAAGGCCGAAATTCTGTGCCTTAGAATCTTCTGCAGTTCTGTTGCGTTCTGTTTCTCTTTACAGTCTCTTTACCTCTTGGATACAGAAAAATCACGGCGGGATGTCCGGGTCATGGTGAAGTCTTTGACTCCGGGTTTATGAGAACTCGCCATACGTGGGCAAACACAAGCCGAGGAGCCATGCGGCAAAGGCCTGCAAGCTTCCTTTCGGCGGAAACCAAAGATCGCTCCAAAAGCAGCACGGTAGCGAAGTAGCCTCGACCCTAACCCCTAAACCCTAAACAGTAGCCTTGCTGCAAAGTGAGCAAAAAAGCCACGCCACATGACGGGCCACTCTCGCTGAGCACGCGGCCCTCGATGCAAAGCACGACTTCACAGCACCTGCGCTTGCTGTCTTCTTCTGCGAAGCCGTCTCGCAAGGCCACGATGCGGATCGGCTGCTCCTCGCCCAAGAAACGCCTGTCAAAAGAAGTTTAGGGTGACGAAAGATGACATGCAGGGCGTGCACAGGCTCACAGGGGCCGTTCTCGCCTGCTCAGCTCGTTCCATGTTTGCCGCATGTGCAGGATGTCTTTGCAGTAGATCTCATATTGCAAGATGTCCACAGCTCCTGAAATCCGCCGAGACTTGCAATGGCCTATATGTTGCCACCCAGATTCAACACATCCCGACAGTCACTTCCCCTGCGCCTTGGCACTCAGAAGCAAGGAAAGCCTCGTCTCCGCACTTCAGGCGTGCTTCCATGCCTTCTGCATCCACTGCCATCACAACCTCCTGCACTGCGCTCCTCAAGAAGATGCTCAAGCATGCTCAAGCTCCCACAGCCCTTCGAAGCCTCTCCACAACCAAGAAGCTCAAAGGTCGGAAGGTGCTGCCGCGCGGAGAGAAAGCTGGTTTTCCTCGGGCAGCCGCTGAGGAGCGGAGCACTGCACGCAGCTGCAGCCAAGATGCAAGTCGCTCACCGTCTCCTGCAGGTTTATGACCATTGGATCATAACTGCTTCTTAGAGTATGGTGGATGCTTGCATTCTGCTTGCTGGCTCTTTCTGCTACTGTACATTTTGTCTGAAAGTCGGGAATCATGCTCCTGCCGCACTTGGTCCACGCTCGGATATTTCTCCCCAGCTACACCGAAGACCAGCGAGGTGTGGGACAGGTGCCCGTCATCCTCCAGCACCTGCTCACATGAGCGTGCGGAGATTTTGGGCATCACCACTGTGCATGACTTTGCCAGTGTCGCAGGGGCCCTGTTGTTGCTGGTAGGCACAGGACCACCGACGCCTTGGGGCGTCGGTGTCTGCGTAGCACAAAGAAAGGCAAACCACCTCTAAACCCTTTCTTGCACTTTTTCCCACCCAACCCCCCCACACCCCCCCACCGCCCCCCGACACCCCCCCACCCCCCCTCATACACATAGTCCCGCCTCTTCAAGCCCAATGCCTCCAGAGCTTGGAGGCCTTTCACCTTGTGTCCGGGACCTTTTCCTACCCCTCCCCACCCCACCTGCCCCTTGCCTTGTTGCAGAAGCCCAGGCCGAGGCGGGTCGCGTAGCGTTAAAATTACATGCATTGCGGCAGCGTGTCTGCCTTTGAGTAGAAAGCCTCCGAGGACAAAGAGAACTCTCGTGCCGCTCGTTGCATCTGGTCGAAACGGAAACTTGCGAAGGAGAAGGAGGCAACCGCCAGAGCCAGCAACAGCGTGGACAGCGAGGAGACCTCAATTTGCCGCGAGTCCGCATGCAGCAGCGTGGGGATACTCGAGAGGTTAACTCCCACAGTGCCAGGACACAGAGAAGCCGCTCACGTTCGCCACGCCAAAGACAAGAACCGGATACCTGGGATGTTTTGCATGTACAATGCCACTTGGACGATGCATGTTCAAGGCCTAGTGATGGTTCGCACCTGCTGGCGAACCTGTATACATGTAATGTTCGCCAAGGTGCAGGGACAGCAGAATCAAGAGCAGCAAGCCTTTGTACCCCAAACCGCAGCTATCACCGAAGCTGTTAACTTTCTTTCGGTGGGATGTGGGCTAGCTCGAATGTCCACCCAAAACCAGATCGGATGCTGGCCTCTGGACTCGATGTCGGCAGCTGCTTGCACCAAGAAGATCAGAGCCAACTCGGACCAACGCCGAGCCTCTACGAGTAGCAAACAAGAAGCCGTGGGATTTCTTTGCGCCTACATAAACCCTAAACTGAGCTGGTTAGCCATGGGGCCTCTTGGAAGGATTTGAAGACACTCCGCCGAAGGCTGCAGGAGAAGAAGTACTCGTCGCAATATCCATTCCTGAAAGGACCGCGCCCATTCATAGGACCCAGGTATTCACAAAGATGAAGCCAAAGCTCAGGTTCGCATGGAAGCGCGGGCAGCGCCCGTGGCTGCATGGAAACGGCAAGTCCTGCTTCAGGGGTCGCGCTTAGGGTTTAGGATTAAGGGCTAAGGGTTAAGGGGTTAGGGAAGATGTGGCAATCTTTAAACTCCTGGTTGATCTCGGATTCTGTTCTCGTGCTTTGCCCTTTCTCCGAGCCAGTGCCTGACGCACCAGTGGAAACGGCACGCCTGAAAGGCACGCCTGAAAGGCAGCCGATCGTCTGAGTCCTGGGCCTTGGAAGCGAAGGCCATCCAGCGGCTTTTCGCGCTTTTGCAGCAGACCCTGGAGCTGCTGCATCCACGTCGCTGCATCCTCCCGACAAGAGGTCTGCGTTGTCTCCAGAAGCTAATCATCCCCTGGTAGAAAACCCTGTACAGTCCTCGATGCAGAGCCACATCTGCAAGTCCTTGTCACAGCTCTGGAGCTTTCGGGCGGCATTGTGCCTCGCTTCCGACTTCGCACTGCCAACCGAAATCCATACATGGCTGCGCTGCATGGGCACACACACACACATCGTCATGCCAAGGCACAATGCCTGCTTTGAAGCTTGGGAAACCTCTCAAGGAGCACTCAACCCTGAACCTGCACGAAATCTCAACCGTAGGAGCCGTATCGGTCCCTTCTCCCCTTTTACGACGACGAAACATATTGTAGCAGATCGAGGGCCTTGGGGCAGCCTTGGACGTAGAGAGACAACTCCTCCAAGCGGAGCTTCAGCCTAAGCTACGAAGCGTCTTCAAGACTCTTCGATGCAGTTTGGGATCTTGCAGGCAAGGAGCAACGCTTCGCTGAGATTGAGCTCTTCAAGCATCGGCAAGGCTGCAAACCAAAGCTCCAAATGGAGCAAGGAAGCTTGGGCCGTGCCGAGGAGGGCTGCTATGCCACCAGCTTCTCGCAGCGATGCCCCTGAGAAGCGAAGCTGCAGTGTGCGCAGCTGGCAGTAACAGCCATCCACGGCGACGGTCTGCAGGCCTGTGTGGCCAAGGTCCAGGCGGAGGCACAGAAGAGTTCTTGGCAGATGAGCCAAGAGCGCTCGCATCTGTGCATCTCGGAAGTGTTTGCAGCCAGTCAACGAGAGCTGCACGGAAAGGCGGGCAGCGTCCGCACGGAGTGCAGCCAGGAAATTGGTCGGGTCTGCGTCTTGAGCGTAGCATGCATAGAGGCTGCTCAACGCAAAGTGGCTCCTCAATGCTCGATTCACGGTTCCATAGTTGTCGTGCTCCCCGTTTGGTGCCTCATCCAAGGCCTGCGTTCCTGCCCGTGGGAAGGCAATGCTGTTCAAGATTCGCGTCTTGTCTTCCTCCCTGGTAGCCTCGGCAATCTCAATGCGGACTCGGAGTCCGTGCTCCAGTAAGTTGGCGGGGAAAAGTTCCTCACGCCGGGATTTGGCAAGAAGCCCCAGCAGGGGCAGCAACTTGGCCTCCTTTCCCGCAAGGCCATCCTGCAGGATGAGAAGCAACAACTGCACGTAAACATGCGCTGTTTGCTGGAAAGCAACACCTGGACCTAGGCAAGCGGGGCTGTGCGCTCCAACAATCTACAGATTTACCCACATTTACCGACGGTCCGTAAGGATGTGGGGCACATCGCCGCTTGTCGCCGCCACGTCCAGATAAAGCTTGGCGGAGTTTTCAACCTGGGGAGCCGGGGAGGCGGGGCCTTGAAACTTTTGAAGCCTTGAGAGGTCCCACCGACAGGGCCCTGAAAGGTAGCACCACGTTCAAAACTCAACTTCCAGTGAAGATCTATGAGTTCAGACTCATCTAGATGACCTGAGCGATGGAGAAGCAGCGCAATCACAGCCGAGCTGCAGCAATTGCTTCCTCAAAGCAGCCTGAGCTGGAACAACCAGCTGCTTATAGCAGAGCAGACGGAACATCGGAAGCACCGTGAAGCACCACACAGACACGCCGGGTGGCACCAGATTCTCTGAAAGGGCGTGGCTGCAGCATCCAGCACCAGCAGCACTCCACGGCAGAGCATCATCGCCAAGTAAAATGATGATTTGCGCGGATCTGTCGGATACATTTGCTGGTTGGGGTCATGTCGATCAGATTTGAACGGTCGGTTGGATGGGTCTCTCGTACGATCCCCGTGCAACGGAGACTGCTACGAACCCTGTGATAAATGCATTGCAGGATTTGCCGCGTGTGGTCACCAGAGCATCACGATCACGATGAGGGTAGTTCTCTGAATTAGGGCCCATTTTCAGGTTCCCGATATAGTACGGCACCATTATAAGAAGGACCCTAAATGGGACCCCAATTTAGAAAACTACCTATGAGACGGCTAGGAGCTACCCGGCCTCTCGGGATGGCATCGCCCAGTGCCTTGGTAGAGTCGCGGGTGTTGCATTACGTCAAGAGTTGGTAATATAGGGGCCTTCATAACTAGAATAGGCTCATTAGGGAAATTTATTCTATAGTGATGAGAAGGAATCCCCAAAAGTATTAAAGGCCTACGGTTTGATAATAAGAATCCCACAGCTCAAGGCTGCCTGGGTGCGTGCTGGTTGTTCGCATAGGCACAGACCCAGTACGCAGGGTCTCCGCGCAAATCTCGCACGGCCGCGTGGCGGAGCAAGCACCGCAGGAACAGCACCTGATTCGGCCGCTGGAGAGTTGAGAGTTTGCAGAAATCATGCTGAAAGGGGTCTAGCTTCTCTAGAAAGGACAAACAACAAGATGCATCAAGGCACGATTGGCTCTTTCCAGGCATGTGATACAAACCATGTGGGACGTTGTGCTTCTATGCTCTCTGCCACGAGCCTGAGATGCGGGGCAATGCACGCGCGAGCCCGCATTCGCCCTGAGAGCGAACCATCTGCGGCATGCGGTTACTTTCAAGAAAATGCTCAACGCGGCTGGCGCGGGACTCCACATAGCTGCAGCCGCGCCCACCTGCTCCTGTAGCCACGAAAGCCACTTTCTGTCTTTAGCTTTTACTGCGTGCATTTGCCACCTCTGCAGCTCTGCAGCCCTTCCGTCATGTTCTGCTTCGCTCTCCTGCAGTCGCCGGCTGCAAGATCCAGTAGTCTGCATGATACCTGGGTTCAACGCATACGCATTGATGAACCGATGATGTTACGAAAGCGTTTGCTCTCATGTGACGAAGGCGCAGATTGAAGCACTCAAAGGATAGAGGTCGCCCACATTCTGCACCAAAGGTGCCAAACCAGCACAGCACCATACCTTGCATGCACTAGTGTTGGGCAGGCCAGCAGTGACAGTGACGGACAACATAACAGCCATGAGGACCGGACCTTGCATGAAGGCGAGTAGGGCCTCGTCGACAGGTGCCACTCAACAGAACACTTTGCTACAGTGGACCAAAACTGGCCAAGAAAATCTCAACGGCCTGAATTTGCGGAATGGTAATGCCGCTGAGCTCTGTCGGGATTTGGAGCGGGCTGCCGGCTGAATGTAAGCGGCCATAGTTAGCCAGAGCCAACCTGAGATGCTGCAAAGTGGCCGAATGCTAAGTTTTGGAGGAGTTTCGCGCGTCTAGGGTTAGGGCTTTGGGGATATATTCGCAAGTGCTCCCCGCAAGGAACTCGTTGCCAGCCTTCGTCTGAGGCGGCATCTCGTCTGTGGCCGTGAACTTCCGTGCGCCGCGTGACAGCAAGACGTTTCCATGCCATGGGTCTCCAGGCAACTTCCTCAGATCTAAGCTTAACCGGGTTTGGGGTTTAGGGATTAGGGTTTAGGGATGTTTAGGGTTTAGATTTGCGTGACAGAATTCCTGGAAGCTGAGTTGACCGGTTGCACCCAAATTCTTTGGCCAGGCACGCCTTCACCGCTGCGATAACATCACCTGCGAGAGGCAGCGTTCAGTGAGACACTTGACAGGTCTACGTGCTTCGCGCGTCACATCAAATCCATGCATGGTTTCTGGTTCACCTTAAGTGTTGCTCCGGGGCACTTGCAGTAGCAGTCCTCTCCATGGCCACGTCCACGGTGTTGGAAAATGAAAGACGCACGGCAGCAGCAAAACCCGAGGCCCGGCTCTGGGTGTCAGGCATGGCCCCGCAACGAGTTTCGGACGCTGTCGTGTGCAGCATCCCTGTACAAAACATTGGGGACTCCGGGCTCTGCGTGCGGCTAACCTGGACCAAAACTTCGTTGCACACGATGAATGGGAGCCGTTCCAGCTGGATCAAGCACGCGCCCCACGCGCAGCCGACAGTATCCCCAATGCCGCAGCCGACATCCAACTGAGAAGCTGATGACGAACGGGCAATGATGGCACCGCCTGTAGTCCAACGCATTCTTTGAAACAATGGAAAGGAGACGTCGTTCTGCGTGCTGTCTTTCTTGAGCTGCGTATCGCTTGATTTCTGTCTCTGCTGTTTTCGCTAGTTGTTCTTCCTTCTCTCTTTTCATTGCTGGTAGCCTAAACCCTAAACCCTATACCCTAAACCCTTTTGCTGATCCATTTTTGTTGGTTTTTCAACCCGTCTCGTCGAGCTATCGATCTGCCTCCAGCCTCCGCGACTCCGTGCGAGGCTCTGGCAGCACTGCTCCTGCTTGAGTACCGCGGAGAAAAACAAGCTCCGTGGCTTGAGATTGACAAGTGCGAACTTGCGAGTACCTCCAGTACCACAGACACTGGGGGTAAAATTCCTGTAGACGCTATATTAAAGAAATCCGAAACCCTAAACCCTACACCCTAAATCCCTACAATTAGATCGGGAATAGAAAGCAACCTTCTGCTCAAAATGCCTTGGCAAGGCGCCTGTGCGAGGGCCACGAGAAGTGGCGACGCTTTTAGATTACAATACAGGTGATTATAATCCCCATTAGAGATAGGGACTATAAGAGGGGGGCACTACAATCCCCATTAAGGACTCTTAGCATAAGCAGGAACATCCCAACTTACAGTACCTGGAAGTGGAAAGTGAGCCTCGAAGTATCCGACGATCACGACCCTCCTAGCTCGGCATTTGAGGTCGATCTTCACCCGCCTCACTCGAATAGCTGGCCCGAGTCGTTAAGGTAAACCCTACACCCTATACGCCTTAATTAAACCCTAAACCCTAAACACCCTAAAGTGGGGGCACTAACCTAAACTGCTCCCATCAACAGTCGTCAAACACATGATGGGAAGCACCTCAGGACCAAGGATCTGGGGTTATGGGTTGCGGGTTTAGGGTTCAGGGCTCCATGGCCGTTAACAGTTCTCAAAACCATGGTCCCTTTTGAAGTACCCTAAATATTAGGGGTCTCAGAAGTGACCACGTTCCCCATACAGATACCCCCTTAAAACTCAAGGACCCGTACTGCAGAACCTTGTAAAGAAGGCAAGGGCACCAGGGCACCATCTATATGGGGGCCCTTCAAGAGGATTCTACTCTATTTGGGGTATAAAAGGGGAGCCCCTTATTTTGGGAAATACCTCCTTGACCCTAAGTCTGCCCCTAGGCATGCTTGGCTGCCCGGCCCGATGTCTTTCAGCAAGGAGATCCTGGGAGGGTTTAGGGCTTAGGGTTTAGGGTAAGTCTGGGCGGACAGGCTTGCTGGGTTTAGGGCGGAGAGTGCCACCCCTTTTAGGGGTTGGCGACTTGACAGGGAACCTTGAACCAAAACAAGCACGAAAACAAGGGTACCAGAGGGCTACCAATTGGGTGTAGGTTTGGGGCCTTAGCGGCTGAAAGCACACACTGAGGGATGCTGAATCTCCCACATGGGACGCCTGTTTCCGCATACGAAACTCCTGGCCAGCAAGGGCCTTCCCAAGATGGACGCACGAGATCTTGCGTCTGAAGTCGAGATCCCTTGAACCCAGTGCTTTAAACCAAGCTCGTTCGAGGTAGAGCGCCACTAGGGATCCAGGCAACTGCTGCGACATAGCTTCCGGTGTGGACTGCTCTACGCAACAACGTCACACTTGGGCGAGTTGGTGTGTTGATGGTGTGGGTTAGAGGAACTCAGAGGTCTCTGCAAGATGGGGCATACCCCAGCAGGTCCTTCTGCTTTGAAACCGGTGCTGCTCACAAAATGGCACAACGCTGGCGACCGCGCATTGTGTTGTTCATGACATGCGGGTTCATGACGCAGTGAGCACCGACACACAAAACAGCCTCTACATGGAGCGCTTCAGTTTTCTTCTGTGCAGGATGCAGAGCCTCAGCAGAGCTGGACTCAAATCTATAGCTACGTGGCAAGAGCCGCCGCAGTCGCAGGGGGCACTGGCGTTTCGAACCCTCGAAAGTTGCACGGGTCCAAACCTCAACGTCTCCAACACGAAGGGAGCGGATCAGAGATGAGATCGCGATACCCGGACGCTGCAGAACTTAGGTTTCCAGCTGTGGGCCAATCCTGAACAATGGGTACCTCCCCTAGCCAACACGTGTGCCAACCCCCCCCAACCCCCCCCAACCCCCCCCAACCCCCCCCCAACCCCCCCCAACCCCCCCCACCCCACCCCCCACCTCACCCATCAAAACGACCCGGTGCAGCTGCAGAGCTTCAAGGTGCCGTTGCGGACTCCACATGCTCAGGGCGCTGCGCTGGGCGAGGCCGAGGCGGGTTGCGTAGCGATAAGATTACCAACCCTAAGCCCCAAATTGGAAACCCCAAGCCCTATATATATCAGAAACCCCAAGCCCAAAGTTATAAACCCCAAGCCCTATCTTATAAAACCTAAACCCTAAACCCTAAACCCTAACCCTAAACCCTAAACCCTAAACCCTAAACCCTAAACCCTAAACCCTAAACCCTAAACCCTAAACCCTAAACCCTAAACCCTAAACCCTAAGCCGAGGAAGGGCCGAGGCGATTCCTTGCGACTCCGGGGGCTTGCATGTTAAGGGATGGGCGTTGGCCCCCGCCGGGTGTGGTTGCAGTCAGACTCGACCAGATGCCGGTAGAAACCGAGGGTTTAGGGTTGAGGGTCTTGGGAGTAGGGTTTAGGGTTTAGGGTTTAAGGCTTAGGGTTTCAAGGTTAAGGGTTAAGGGTTAAGGGTTTAGGGCTTAGGGCTTAGGGTTTAGGCTGGGTTCAGGGTGACAGAAGAAGAACCGGTGGCAGCAGATGTCGCAGAGATGGAGAGGGACGCAGGAAGATGCTGCCACTACCTTCAACAAGTCTGCAATGCATCCACATCCCGGAGCCTGACAGACGCCGACTCAGGATACGGGGGGGGGGGGGGTTAGGGTCTAGGGTTTAGGGTTTAGGGTTTAGGGTTTGGGGTTTAGGGTTTAGGGTTTGGGGTTTGGGGTTTGGGGTTTAGGGTTTAGGGTTTAGGGTTTAGGGTTTAGGGTTTAGGGAATATAGACCCCCCAAACAGTAGGAGTGCCTTATGGTAAGGACCCCGCTAAGGTACCCCCTAGTTGCAGCAGTCCCAAGCACTTAGAAGCTGGCTCTCGCTCTTTTGCTCAAACAACTTCCCGGAGTGGCTGCGCCCTACCAGGTTTTGTGGAGATTCATGATGCACAGAATAGTGATTAGCCCTCTGAATCTCGTGAGTATTCGCCCTGGCACTGCATTAATGTCAGTACTACGTTCTTATCTTCACAGAGGCAGTTCCTCCGTTTCGTCCGCATTGTCAGGCCGGTAGAGGCCCTTCTGTGGCAGGTAAGAGTGGTCCGCTTTGACCAAAGCGTCAGACTTCTGAGCGACTGCAGGTCATCAATCTTGCTGAGGCTGCTGAGGCTCTGAACTAGAAATCCAGCACTTTGCGAAAGGCCCGAGGAAGTTGGCATCAACCCGCCAGTGAAAGCAGAACTTCGTTGGAGTGCTGACTCAGAATGCCATAAGACCCTGAGGCTCTGCTTTCCAACTTCCATTCCAAGCAGTTCCCAACGGGATGCAAGAGGAAAGATCCTTCGCGGAATGAACTCCGACAAAAGATGAGGTTTGGGGTTGGGGGTGGGGTTGGGTTGAGGTTTGAATTTGCAATGCCTGTCAATAGAGCCATAAGACGACGTGCCAGCTCCCCTTAGAACCTTAATAAACATAGTAGGTTTAATATCCTCTTGGGGTTGATATAAACAAAAACCACCAAATCATTCCCAAGGGGGATATAGCTGGGATCTTGAATGGCAGGGCTGGTGTTTTGCAAGCGCAACTTCCCAGACCCGTGGACCTTCCGGAAGCGACTCATTTGCCAGGCCTAGGGGAGGCTTGGCGGTCGCTTCTTCGGTATGATATGGGCTCGCTTGCCGATGGGGCGGACGCAAAATTCACGAATTGAAGCTCCGAAACTGAACTAACCCCCTAAACCCCTAAACCCTAAACCCCATCTCTCTTAACAAGGGAGCATTTGTGTGCCAACCATCATCGGCTGTCACACGGCCCCTGGTCCTCAAGAGACTACTGCCTTCAAGGGATTTGGGGTTTAGGGTTAAGGTTTCAAGTTCCCGCACGATCGCTCTAAACCCTACTTGTACTTGAAGGTTCATGGGTAGTTCTAAGTAGGGTTCTAAGTACCCTACATAAGGTTATAACCTTTGCTATAGTTACCTCACTGATGACCTTACCTACAACAAACATCCAAAGAAGGCCCTAAACTAAGCCCGAAAAAAACCTTCAAAAGCGGGTCTCTCGAAGTGCCAGGGCCCTCCACAGCCGCGCGACGCGGAGCGATTTCATTGACAGCTATCGGTGTGCAGTTGCGCGCGCTCAGAGGAACCTGTCGCGACCAGGGCTCAAAGCAGCGAGTGTTCCGAAGCTCCTGGCCCCGAAGCTCCACAAAAAAAATTCACAGCCTGCAGTATCAACCTTCTGTTGAGTCTAGGGTTTAGGGCTTGGGGTCTAGGGGTTAGGGAGCTCCAGCCCCCAATTTCAACAAGAAGACATCCAACCTCAGTCATGAAACTCGCGTCGGTGATGACTGAGAATGCAGGACAAGTCATGTGGGACATACCATGGGTCTTTCCCAAGATGGGGGCACCCCCTTGTATGACTACAATCCTCGATATACCACAAGCGGGGGAAACCCCATCTTGTACATCTGCCCAGTCTGCGGTTGGGAAATGACATCTTGCAGCAAGCTCCAAAAATGCCGTCAAACCCAGTCCGCCAACACGCGCGTGCTTCCGAAATCAGAGGATACCTTGTTGGGGGTACCCCTAAAAA